ATACTCTGTGCTCACGGATTAAAAATATATATATATATATATATATATCAATGTCAAACAGCCATTTTACCTAAGGCAATAAACAAATTTAAGCAATGCCTTTCAAAGTTTCAATGGCATTTTTCAAAGATATAGAACAAACCTTACTGAAATTCATATGAAACCACAAAATACCCTGAATAGCCAAACCAGTCCTGACACAAAAGAGGAAGAATGGCTGCACCACAATCCCAGATTTCAAACTTACACTACAAAGTTATAACAATCAAAACACCATGGTGCTGGATATGAGCAAATAGAGACCAATGTACAAGGATTGAAATAACTCATATGTCTATGACAAAGGAGCCAGGTATATATGTTTTGAAAATGAAAGCCTCATCAAAAAACAGTGTTGAGAAAACTGGCCTGCTCCATGCAAACAAATAAAACTACAACAGTATATCACTAAAAAAGTGTAAAAGAATTATATTATTAGACCTGAAGCTACTTAATTAGTGACATATTCATAACAACATGAATAATAGGGATATAGGACCATGGTTTTAAAATTAATACAGTGAGAATTTAATTTTTCTACACATATAAAAAATGAGTACAGCAAATACTACACCTATGCATATATGTACGTATAATCACATAAATTGTGGTATAAATTCAGTTGCATATAGCTGTCATATCCTGTTCAGTAACCATGTCAGCACACTCATATTGCCTTGTAATATCTCCTTATATACTCTATGCAATCTATATTTTAATGCCCTTTGATCTCCTTCTACTTTAAGTGCTCAATATGGAGGCAGTTGATCTTTTTATGTGAATTAGCAGTGAACTAAGTGTGCTATTGCATTTGAAGCAAGCCAATTGAATGAAAGCTAGCTGAAACTATGCAGCGATTAAATTATAACATAGAAACTAGGAGAGAACAAAAATTCGCCAGTGGGTAGAGTCAGGAAATATGATGGTGAATGTCTGACACCAGATAGCAGATGAAAACAGTTGTAAATGGTTTAAACTACCTCTGAACTAGGGTGCTGCCAGTGGAAAGAAAGGGAAAATCATCTGTTATCAGGAACTAAGAATCTGAAAAGTAGCATTTGTCTGTGAAATAGATTTGGGTAATAATTATATATATATAATTATGTCTGTGTGTATGTATATACATACATACACATATGTGTATGTGTATTGAGTGTTATGGAATGTTGTTTATACCTTTACACCTGCTGCCTACTGGAGCTGGGGATAATACACTGCCTCAGAGCAGAGGTCAGGATAGCCCCCAGGGTAAGAAAGGCAATTTAAGGAATTCTAATTAATCAGTACACCCTGACCTTCGGTGGTCCAATACAAATTGTCCCTGTAAAAATGTATCAGGATTCCAGACTTGTCAGGACTGTGCAGATTTTATCCTACCAAACCTTTGTTCACACACAAATAAATGGATAAAAATAGAAGCAACATTAATACAACAAAAATAAACCATCCACACTTTGAGGGCTTTAGAGTCTTGTCTCTTTTTAGCCTGAATCTTTCATTTCCTTGTATGTTCTTTTAAATTCATTCCTTTTTCTTATTCTCATTTTTTTTTGTTCAAATAAACTCCCATTTATATCTGTAAAAGTGATTTCTTGTCAAATGTCATCCTTCTTTTTAGAAGTACTTGGTACTGGTACGTGGTATCAAGACCTACATTTGTACCTATTTTAAAATTATTTTCAACCACTTCTGCATCATTGTGTAAAGTTCCATGGCTTGCTAACTGTTATGGCTAATATTACATAATAAGAAAAATAATGAAAATGCAATTTAATAAGAAAGTGAAATAATTTTATGCATTATAGCAAATCTCAAATAAGATGTTTTTATAGGTATTACTTTAATTGAAGTTACACTGATCATTGAAAGCAATATTGCTCTTGAAATCACTTAAATAAGATTTTGGTTTGATATGTAAGAAGGAAGTGATAGTAAAATAAGCATAATATTCACTCAGCTTTTAATTTTTCAGTTTACTATGGGATTTTGAAGGCTAGAGTTGCTGTTTTTATAGTGACATAACAAAGAGGAAAAACCATACAAGAAATCACATGCAAACAAATCACAAAATAAAAGACATTTGGCTATATATATTTTTCCCTTCTCATAACAAATATTCTCAATATTTGTATAATAGTAACTCAATAACTCAATGCTTGATAAATAATTCAGTCATAAGGAAATAGTGAGACTTACTTGAATATGGCTGCATTTATACACTTGACAGAGCTGAAGAGATCACAATCCTGGCATAATAGAATTACTTTGGATTAAATTGAGCTTAAGGCAGATCTAATGCAGCAATCCCAAGTATATCCAAATATTCTTCAAAGGAAAACCATCCAAAAGCCATTATTGCTTCCAGTTTTGGGCCCATAATCATTTGTTAAGTTGTTTTCTCCTTGGCACAATCTAATGTTGCACTACAAGCTATTCCAAACTCTTTGCCTAATGAGAAGTTTCTGTTTGGTAATTGAGATGTGTTAAAAAAAAAATGAACCAATTCTTGTTTGGAAAACTGAACATATAATGTACTGAGACTATACTTTTATGTGTTCACTAAGAAGAGGGTTTAGTTGCAACAAACGTGTCTTCAGATGTCCTCTGGAGAAGAAAACCCCCACCACGACCTCTGAAAATATCTGATTTAAGCCAACTACCACAGCCATAAAGTCTGTATCTTGAGAACTTGTAACAGTGACTGTCCCAAGGTTTCCTATCTGGTGGTTGGGGTCTTTTCTGTGAGCAGTCCAGATTTCGTACTGCCTTTTCTGGGAGGGGGGTGGGTGGGTGGATATTTTATCATTTGGTCTTGTTATTAAGCAAATGACTCTGACTTACTTTTCCTGTCAAGTATCAAGGTTGAATATTGAAAAATCATTTTGCAGGCTTGTTTTTCACAATAACTCAAACTTAAGTGTTCTCAAACTTAGGGTCTTAATCAGAAATTTATTAATCATGTCTTTCTCTACAGGCTTTGCATTTTTTGGTAATTACAGACTAATGAGTATGCCCTTTATGTGATATTTTAGCTCACTTATACCTTTATAAATATTTCAGTTTTGTGATAATTAAGTAAATTGAATGTTATTAATTAGAAATGCAATCAGTGGATATGGTTAGGAAATATCCTAATATAGTACTTTTAATGTCTTAATATTATTTTAATAAATTTCTTCATGAAGATTTTTTCTATTCTCAAAATCAGACCATAAGTAAGTAAAGCTAAATGTTTTTCTGATTAAAGAAATTTCCATTCATATGACACATGAGGTATATGTGCTATTCATAGGAATTGTATGGAAAATGTTCAGTAGAGTCATTCTGAAAAAAAATCATTTCATTTATAAAGTAACTCTTGCAAAACTATAAGTTCATTATGCAAATCTCAAGCTTTGAAATCTTTCATTATAATTATGTCAAAGAAAATTAGCTAAGAGGTGAAACTTTTTGATGAAAAGTAAACATAAAGATTGTGCTTCATTGAAAATTATTTTAATGGGTAACATTATAATCAACATTTGAGCATAAAATATGTGATCACCCTTCTTAATACATTAACAGTTCATATATTTTCATTGTTCAACTGTTTTTCAGACCTACATTTTCTTAGGAAAAGATTACTGATGAAATGAGTCATATGAAATGAGTCATATTTAAATTGTAAATTAGTATGGCATAACATACCTTTGAAAGATGTTAACATATTTTCAAATTCAATATTAACTCTAAGACTATGGACTTTTCCTGTGCATACATCTCTTTTAATTGCTCTGAACTTTTGTTGTATTATATCATGAATTATGTCAGAATTTCCATCTGAGTGGGTCCAGAGTTCTGAAACATTATTTAAAGATGTTAAAGAAGATAATGTTAAACGTAAATCCTCAACTTTTTATAAACTATTTTTGTTTTTCAATAAAGAACTCATATTTTAAGTATTTCTACTTTTGTTTCATTATAGGGGTTTTTGATCAGATTTAAAATTCATTGTGATTTTTATATGGAAAAGTTATTTTTCCATTTATTGAAACATTGAATTATAAAAATAAAGATACATTTTGTAAAGTTTATTCCTAAAAATAGTTCCACTAAAACTCTACAAATTTATTCCTAAGGTAATACATTTTGATCAGGGCTTGTTAGAAATTTTCCTGTCCATTATTGAGTTATTTGACAAGGAAAGAAATATTGTACAGATGTGAGTAATTTAATTTGCCAGTGGGTGTATTCAGTGCTTCTTAGATATCAGATGAAGCTGAATTAAATTAGTCATTGGTGCATTTGTCGATTGGAGCCTGAAAGTCTGGCCTATTTAATTTAAAAATAATTTGCACTGAGTAAGTTATGAACATAAGCACTAAAAAAATCACATTACTTCAGAATTAGCAAGATCTATTTCTTTTAAAGTAGGAGATAATTATTATCTCTCAAAAGATGGCTTAGATTTACAATTGTTTAATCAAGTGAAATATGTAGTAATAAAATATATTAAGAATGAGTTAAGGATACTCAGGTTTAAAATTTTATGAAGAGTAATAAGTATGAAGAAAATCAAAACAAAACAAAAACTTAAAAAAACCTCATGTGCATGATAATTTAGGCTTTTTAACTTTAATTTTATGCAACTTTGTTAACATTTCTTAAGAACCTGGTCTGTGGTAGCTTCTCCTTTGGGAAAACTGGCTGTTTGATTTGTAAAAACCTGGGTTCAGTGTTGTTCTAGTTATTCACATAGGAAAATTGTAGTTGAGAACGTTTAAGAAGTTAGCCCCTAATTCCACATTTAGAAAGTGGTACTCAGAAGATTTGAATTCAGAAATAATGTTCTTTGTTCTATAACATTCTTTTGTCTTTTTAGTGAGTGTGTGTGATAAAATTTCCAAGGTACTATTGTCACTATTGACTTTCTATTGATAAAACTAAAAGTACTTAAATTACCCTCTTCTCTTTTTACACAGTGCAAGCTAGAATATCAAGCGTGTGTCTTAGGAAAACAGATCTCAGTCAAATGTGCAGGACGCTGTCCTTGTCCTTCAGATAAGTCCACAAGTACAAGCAGAAATGTTCAGAGAGGTATGTGAAAATTGATAGTTTTACTTTCACTCCCGCTATTTGGATGGATATTTGGATGCTTTCAGTAACTGTTGTCATTAAACAATGATATTTACCAATTGTAGTTATGTTCTAAGTGGAGTTTCCTTTAGCCTAAATTATTATAGCAGCTAATGATTTTTTTATATAGGTTTCAATTTATGCTGGTAATAATAGCTGGGTTTTGCTTTTGTATATGTTGACTGACTATATAAGAGTTCTAAAACAATGCCCTTTTTAATTTATGGTGCTTTATTTCTATATGATATATATATATGATTTATATCCATTTCCCTACTTAATAATTTTATAATTTAGACTTTTTTTTATTAGATCTAGAGTTTTTTTTTCTTTACTTTTTTAACTTAGGTTGGTGGCTAATATAATAATGACATGCATATAACTCTATGTGTCAACACAGAAATAATTTGACATTTCCTAGGTAGTTTTTTTGTAGTTCAGTTGGTTTTATTTTTATGTTTGTGATTGTTTATGCCTTTACAATATTTCCTTGGTTCTAGCCAGTTATCAAAGAAATATAGAGAATAGATTTAAGTCAAAGACTGTTATATAAGTCCTATTATCTTTTATTATATAATTTATAACCCATTGAATCTTGTAGTTTAATAATTACTATCCTGGGTGCTTAATGTAGAGAAGTTATGTTCTGAAAAATGTGGTCATATATGCCTTTAGGTTCAAAAAACCCCTTAATTTAATGTAGGCTATGTATTTACTGTTGTTACAGGTAAGGTAATTTAAATTTAAAAAAACAATTATGTCTTATATCAACTTTAATAATGCCATTAGTCAATTTTATTTTTCAAAAATAAATAACACTCCTAAAGTAATATAAACATTTCTGAAATGAATGGTAAGTTATGTTCAACTGATAGAAAATATGAAAATAGACACTATTTGATGGAGGAAAGCTTCTAAACTACCTGCAGAAGTCCTGTGCATTAAGCCTCATCCTTGGTACCTCATACCTAGGGCCAGCCTCAGAGCTTGATTCTTCGGCAACTCCCACCAGCATCCACCCAGGCTGATAGGGAAGCTCCATACGACCTAGAATACATTGATTAACCTCCCATGTAATAAGGGCTAAATATAGTTTCCTTTTTACTAAAGTTCTTTAATATCTTTGCTTTTCTCATCTCCATTCTGTAATAATTACATTTCATGTTGCTCAAATTCTCTATACAGTGTTTACATTAATATGTCAAGAAGGAAACTTTTCTTAAAGTCCTATCATCAGGGGATAAAGATCATTTGTGTTCAATTGTGCGTAGAATAAGAAGCAAGAGGAATCTAAATTAATCCTGTTCTGATGGATTGTCAGAGTAAAGCAAGTACAGAATTTTGCTAACTGTTGTGGAAAAGCAGTACAAAAAATTTGTGAATGTCATTTCTACACCATGTGAAAGGCCAGCAGACATGGGAAATGTAAAACTCAGTTCAGTACTGTAATCTTTGAAATGTCATTTACATTGGAATCATGCCTTCAGTACAGGAAATTCTACTTACTAACATCTCTGTTCTAGAAAGTGTGAGGAATAAAGTACAAACAATGAAATATTTCTTAAATCTCTGATTTCTTACACTTGAAGCCAAATTGACACCATAAAATACAATTGCTTTAAGTGACTTGAAGTATGAAAACTAGTGTGTGTGTGTGTGTGTGTGTATGTATATATCCTGTTTACTTCATGAATTCAGTAATGGGTATGCTTCATTTGGTGATTTGTATAGAAAAATCGGTAATTTTTACATTTTTTAAATGAATGCATTTGGACTATTTCATTGTTTAGAAAGAATACAGATACTAGCAAGAACAGTGAATGTAAAAATAAAGGAAGAAATTAAATTAGAATAACAGTGCTGAGGATTTGCAAAGCAGAAACCAACTGTACGTGATAGATAAGGAAAAGGAATATGTCAAAGATAATTTTGAGTTTAGTGATCTGGGTGAACTATTGGATGATACCAAAAATATCAGCTTATTTTTTCTGGTCCTATGGTTTATATTTCTTCTATAGCTCATCTAAATTATTTTTTGAACAACTTTCAGTTCTTTATCAGAAACTGAGAATTATGTAACTCACTATATTTCCATTTATGTCTCATTTTCTGAGTGTCAAATTAGACTCTCATTCACTTCACTCCCCTAAGCTACACCTTACACTCACTCTTAATTTTATGTGTGAGTGTGTGTGTGTGTTTAACCCTTTTATAGAATATGTATCACACATACACAAACACACACACACACACACACACACCCTGGAATAGGATTGTTTGGTTGGTTAAGAGTTCAGCTTTTAGAATCCCATTTTAGCACATGTGTGACCTTTGGTGATATATTTAAATTTATGAGTCTCAGTTTCTTCATGTATAAAATCCAAAATACAGAAAGCCTTAAGATTTATGGGTGCATTTCCTCAAATTAAGCCATCTTTGTATCCCTATTTCATATTAATTGATGATACTTATAATGTTTAATTCTAATAAATTGTTGATCTTTGTTCTACATCAAGCATGATTTGTAGTTTTATTTTTCATACTATATTTCATCATTTTGGGTTACAGAAAATTGGAGCATTTTCAAAGTTTTTATAGTGAATAGTTTTTTATCCTTTGGAAAGTATGATACATTGGGAGTTTCAAATAGTACAGCATAACTCTTTAGCCTAAGAGCTACTATTAGTTATTTTCCCTGATAAATCTTTGATACATTTTGACAGTTTTTTATTTTCTAATATTTGCTGAGTGTATGTATGTTTTTCAATAAATTATATTAATAATGTTTTATAAAAATATCTTCTTACTTAAATTTTAAATATATTGTACTAAATTTTGTATTATGTCACTTTTATAATTGAAAGTCCTCTACAGGTCAGATAAATTATAGTAATCTGAACAAACACCTTTGTTAATGCCTATACATTCATTTATTCACTGTGTTTGCAATTATAATTTTATGGAATTAATTTTTTAGCTCCTTAAATTCTTAAGTACTTGGTTTGTGCTAATTAGCTTCTATCAGAATATGGGCATAATAAAATTGGTATTGTAGGCTAAGAAAGGTTAGAAGAAAGCAGTGTTAATGTATGTGTTATCACCAAAAGTGACGAAAGGGCTTTTAAGAAACAACAGCAACGAAAAACATGGGCCTTGATGTCAGGCACACATTTCTCAGCCTTACGGGCCTACAAAAAATCAGTCTTTGTGTTGTTTCCCTTCTTCGGTGGAACCTACATCTGACACAGAAAGAATCCTTCCAAGGCCCCTCGTGTCAGTCCCCACTGGTGCTCAGGCATCATTCAACAACACCCACAAAAGCATCATAGTTCTTTGAAGAAAATACACCTCACCTGAGATGGATAGAAATGTTTTTAAAGGAGCTGTAGGTTTGTAGTCTTAAGCTGTCTCCCCATCTGCTCAAGTAGAAAGTCTGATGGTACCTAACATTAAGACAAGATGTGGGGAAGGGTTACTCTGATCTATAGTCATTTTCTTTCTATTCATTCCATTTATTCTGAATCTTGTGGAGTCCTGTTAACAAGGAGTTTTTATTTAATTGTGTTCTAAATATAAATTTATTTTATAATAAAGACTGTTATAAGTGCCGTATTTGCCTTTTCTAATGGCAAAATTGCTTTAACACTTATATTCTGTAGTGGAATTTTATTAACTGTGATGATGGGATGGGTATTCAGTAGGGGTTTAAGAGGAGAGGGATGTCACCTATATGAAAATAGAAGAGTTTCCTTGCTTTGCTCCTGAGTGGAACATCTAGCAACTAAAGTGAGAGGAAGTGTATAGGATAGAAACAGTTCAGAATGAAACACCCCTTAGACAGGAGACACTAAAAATCTGCTGCTTAGGGAACATGACTGGAACTCATGCTTCACTGAACAAGAGATGGGTGATGTGAAGTGCCTGAGGCTGCAGAGGGGGCAGGGAATCCAGATTGGAGGAATGAGAGCTCAGCTACTCAGCTAGGGACTCAGCTAAAATCTCCCTAGCTGCTCTAGGGAGCGGGCAGTAGGGGAGAGCAAGGATGGTGTGAAGGCCCGTGCATTTCAGTAAGGGGAAGCCCACATGAAGGAGCTGGGCTGCTCCACACAGGCTGGGTTCCTGATAGAAAAAATAGCAGAAAAGTTACTCTTTACGCTACTCCCAACCTCCACCAGTCAGAGCGTCCTGAAGTGTACTGACACCCCAGAGATGCCCTCATCCCACATCTGGGACTACAGAGAGGAGAGATACTGGGGCCACAAACAAGAGCCAAGTGCACACCCCAAACAGTTGCAACAGCACCTAGACATTTCCACCCCACCACCCCCCCTTCTCCACCTGCTAACTCAGCAAATGCAAAACCAGATCTCTGTAGCTACAGGAGTGAAGCCCAACCAAATGTCAATTCAAAGGAAACCACAGCACATCCTACTGGAAATGTAAAAGTAGTTCAACTCTAAGCTATAGTTAGATTGATTTTTTTAAAGATTTATTTATTTATGCATACAGAACTGCGGTACAGGCCAGAGGTGCAGGGGGGTGAGAGGATTCACCAGAGACAGAGTGGAGAGCAGAGCAGGCTGATTGATAAGTACACAGTTAAGGGAGAGGTCTGCCACACCACGTGGGTCACCTCTCCGGCGGGGATTGAACTCATGCTGAAGTGGCTTTAGCTTCGCAGTTGTGTGCTTTAACCTGCTGAGCCACCAGGGAAGGCCTGCTTTTTTTTTTTTTTAATAGGAAAATTTGAAATAGGCAAGATGGACATTTAGAACATAAAATGTATGACAATTTGAAACCACAAGGGAGTATGAAATCACATTTAGCCCCCACCTATAGAGACTTGACTCTCCTCTAGGTGATTTACACGTCATCTTTTATGTAATACTCCTAAAACACCATAAAGTAGGTGCTACTTATATCCTCTGTCTGATTAAAATAGTTAAATCGAATCAGAGAAG